TCACTGAAACTGATTTCTAAGTTTTAGTCATGGATTCCAATATCTCCATCTTATTTTCTGCACAGCTTACCTATGGCCTAAATACACTGTTAAATCTACGTGAACATCTTCAGATGAGCAAATCTGCACTTAAAAAAAAGCATGCTCTTTTCTCCTCTTAACATTGAAACGTACCAACAAAATTATATGTCATATTAGATTATTTTAATACTAAAGATCTCAGATTCACAGGCAATTCTATTTTCGGCCACAAAGTGAAGCCCTTATTGAAGGTTTCTAAGTACCAATTCTTGTGTAAAGCCCTCAATTTGTGCCTTGCTGAGTGGCACTAAAACTTCTGAGGCCTGCTAATCATACAATAGGCAAATGAGTAAGGACACCAGAAAGACAGCTTGAGGACTTGAGAAAGTGTCTATGCAGAGGTGCCTGCACATCCAAAAAAAGCTCTACTGATGTTAAAACTGTAAGAAATCATTAAGTTGTAATAGTGGAGACAGTTTAAGTAAAAGAGGCAAGGAAGAGAGAACATTACATGAACATATTATTTGGATAAATTGAAATAATTTCATCCAAAAAAGTCTGGATACATCTGCCTTAAACCAAATCATATTGTTTAGTTCACAGCTTGGGTTAGTAAGAACATGATGACCATTTAGGAAAATGGAATTCTTTTCTGTGAAATTGTTCCCTAATTCAGTTGTTATCGCTGCCACCACCTTAGTCATCTTCTCCAGAAGCATAAAAATGATCTTCAATCAATCTTGATTTGTATGACTCTAAGAATTATTGGGTTGCCGGAAAAGTCATGATGCATTTTTGCAAAAAAAAAAACATAGAAAAAATACATCATGACTTTTCCGACAGCCCAATAGAACTAAAAAAAAATGGGTGCCATTGGTAGGGAGACCAGGCTATATTTTAAGTGACTCAAACTAAGGTCTTCTGGCTGCTGAGCTCAGATTCTTTCCACTGTGCTATACTAGCTCTTTCTCAATAATAACGTAAACCTAAAGTAAGCTTTCAGGGTTTGCAAAGAGCCACTATCTCATTTGCTCATGGTTCTAATCCTGAGAGGTAAACTGGGGCAGACATTATACCTCTAATATATAGGACACTGGGTACCAGGGGTAAAATGATTTGTCCAAAGAAGTTGAGTCTACTGCGTGGTGATACCCACAGGACACAAATAACTACTGCAGTGCATCTGTTACGTTTGCATTCTAGGGATGGTAAATACCAGATATCTATACTGACTCTTTCCCGCCATAATCTTTCAGCACACTCTTTCTTGCTGGGCCTGAACCCAGCCTCAGAATCTTCTGGAACACTTGCCTGGCAATATTAGCCACCCAGATAAAATCTGCGTTCCTATTCTGACTCTCTTCATTTAGGTCCCACATTGCATAACATTTGTTTCTGACTTTCTTTCTTTGCTTTTGATTTGCTATTTGTTATTAATGGGTCTCCAATGATTTCATGTTTGTATATATTGTCTTCTCCAAGTACCGGGACTCTATTTTTTATTTATCGCTGATCACCAACAGCAATGATTCCTATACGATAGGTGCTCAAAGTATTCTGAGTGTACCATAGACAGATGTATGGTATTTATGAAAAAAATCTCAAGTTAAAAAAAGGAAACCCAAAAGCAGAAACTGCCCTTGTTCCTGATTATGGTTTAGACCAGGAGGTCAGTAAATTTTTTTGTAAAGAGTCAGATAATAAGTATTATAAGCTTTGTGGTTCAGATGGTCTTTGCTGCACCACTCAGCTGGGCCATTATAGTGTAAAGCACCTACAGACAATATGTAAATGAACGAGTGTGTCTAAAATCCAATAAAACTTTATGGACACTGAAATCTGAATTTTATATAATTTCACACATCACAAAAAATTATTCTTCTCTTGATTTCCCCCCCCTCCCCCCAACAAATAAAACTTGTAACAGCCAGTCTTAGTTTGCAGGCCATAGAAAAAGAGGAGGCTGTCTGAATTTGGCACTCTGGCCTAGTGTGGTTCTCAAAGTGACAATTCCTGGTAGTCTGCAAGATCCTTTCGGTAAGTCCAGCTACCCATGTGTGAGGCCAGATTTTCTGCGTGTACTTCAACCAAAGCAATGTATTTTAAGAGGCTGCATACAGAAGCAAATACAAGGATCTAGCTGCCTTCTATTAAGCCAGAAATCGAAGAGATTTGCAAAAATGTAAAATAATGCCACTCTTTTCGCTAATTTTTCTTCATGTTATATTTCATATATTACATGATGCTACTTATGTGAACAGGTAATGGATTTATTATTGAATTTTAATGGCTTACTATTTTTAAAATTCCCCCATGTTGATTTCTAATATGATAAATGTCAAAAGCTATAACCCAGGTAAACAAAAGTTCTTTGGGGGGCCTCAGTAAGTTTTAAGAATGTAAAGGGATCTTGAGAGCAGACAGTTTGCGATGAGCTGCTGAGGACGGCTGGGCTGACCCATTCCCGCCGGTTGAGTGCGCCCAGCTGGCAGGCAGGACACCCCCTCAGGTCCACCCACCAGACAGACCACCGACGTCAGTCTCCATCTTGACTTCCCCCCACCTAAGAGCTTCATGGCATTTCTTTGATTGGATCCTGATTTGGTAAAACTTAATCGCATGCAAGTTGTGTTCTTGCACAATCAAGTTGGTGAACACATGGTGGTTATTTTCATGAAAGAACCCTTCCGATATGTGCAGACCATAAAAAACGCTTCAGTCTTTATTTTGCCAAAATAGGCAACTTGAAGCAAGTATCTCTCCTTGGCTTGTATTTTCCAATCTTAAAAAAAAACAACAGAATTATTGTAATTCCTTGCCTCCATGAGAACACACCTCAAACAAACAGATTTCACTGGCTCCTTTATAAATCATAGTCCCTTTGACTTGCCTGCACAAAAATTGTGGGAGCCTAGTGCTAATCACCATCCTCACAGCAGCGTTAAATCTAAAGAAATAAAATGCACTAGGCATGGTGGAAGTTTAACTGACAGTGCTAATAATAATGTGCTAAAAATTACATTTTGCAAGTAAGGGATACACATCTTTGAGAGAGTATTAATATTTTGCTTGTTCAGCTATTTGAGATTTAAAAGAATATTTTAGGAGAAATAAAAGGGAAAGTTCTCTTAATTCCAGTGTTACCATATATAGGGAAACCTTCTATAAGGACGCATTTCTTTCAATATAAATTTACTTTTTCATAAGGTTTAAGCTGTCCAGCCACATGATGTGTACTGCTGGCTTGGGGAATCCTGCCCCCTACCCAATTTTATAGAGAATTAAACAATCATTATGATTTCAAACATTTATTATTTTGTTGAATTGAATAGTATTAACAAGAAAGTGTTTCCACATAAGTATATGATTTTAAAACTCCTTAGAGTTTTTTCTTATGGACTAATAACTTTGTCATCAATAACAAAGGATTGAGAAATTTATACTTTCGGATATTTATCCTTCAATCTGTATTATAAAATACCTACACTATCAGGAATTATGATCAGAAGTTAAATTTGCTATAATTTTCTAATTATTGGCTCCAAGTAATACAATAAAACACATTTGGCTATTTTGACCAACACCAAAACTGAAATGCACTAGCATCTTGAAGATCAGAAAGCCATTAGCAAATTATTACCTGTTTGGGGATTATTACCCATTTGGGGGAACAGTGCAAATTATATCAGAAAGACTTCAATAGCTGTGATATTCAGAGAAGAACAGAAAACAGACTTAAAACGTGGGGAAAATGCTTACTGTATAAATCTACAGTAAAAGCAAGTCTCACCATAATTGCAAAACATTCCCAATTGTGAAACTTCACTTGTAAAATCGACAGAAGTAGCTTCCTCAGTTATTTTTTGAGATCTCAGCATCAATTTAAAGAAAGTGCTTATATTTAAAAGAAAGCCTATTTCAAAATATGAAACCCTATACTCACTACAAATACGGACATAAAATAAATTTGTATCTCAGATCATACAACATGCCTCCTGTGCCATGTCTGTGTAAATGAAAGTGATGTTGAAACTTAACCGAAAAAAAGTAAAGTTATTTGCTTCATTATTCAATTCTTTAAGCAATAAAATAACCTTAAGCATAAAAGAAAGAATGACAATTGATGCTAAGGTAAAAACAATCAAATTACATAAACTTGTTATGTGAGTTACATGGAAAAAGAAAGGGAAAAAATGGATACATGTACTTCACTGTGTAGAAAAGGAACATCATTTCTGGCAAATACTGTCTACAAAAAGTTTTTTGTACAATAAATCATGTTCCCCACTCTCATTTTTAAATCAAAATTATGTTAATTAAAAAGCCTGAGTTTAATAAAGTTGACTAGGAAGGCAACAAATTTCAAAATCACATGGAATTTATACTACCACAAAGATAGTAGGGATTCGTAAATTACGTAAATGCTAACCGCTATGCTGTACACCTGAAACTAATATAAAATAATTCGTTTGAATGTCAACTGTAATTGAAAAATTAAAAAACGATAGAAGGGATCAGTAGAATTTTGGTTCATATTTAAGAAGAAAAAAATAATCTGAGAAAACATTGTTCCTACTATTCCAAAGCAACAAAACTAGAATCAAAGTATAGTTATATTAAAGCTTGGCACAGCAGTTTAAAATTTGAAACACACCCTTGTTATTTTAATAAAATAGTTTTCAGTTTTATTTTATTTTGCCGATTCCCTCCCCAGCAGTGGGACAACACAGTGTAATTTTCTGTAGCTTGTGGGGAATTTTCTTAGCACTTTGTGGAAACTGTTGGTTTTCAGAAACGGACAGGCTGATTTGAACCAAAAATTAGACAAAACACAGAATTGCAGCAACAATAAAAAGCCATTTCGCAAGAGGGTCAAGCCAAGCAGATAAGCAAACTTTATATAAATCAACTTTCTGGGACTGCTCAAGTCGGTTCCCTAATTTCAAAAAGCCAAAGCAAAGCAAAGCATGCTGACTTACATTGCTTCTTTAGTTCTTTCAGCTGTTGTTTAAACTGTACAAATTTTTCATTATTTTCAAAGTCTGCATCAGAATTCTTATTCTGTAAAGCCAAAAACTTCTGTTCCACTAATAGTTTTAGGTCTGGTATTTTTTCTGGACGCTCTTCTTTTACCTGAGGAAGGTAATAAAATTGTCTCAGTTAAATGTTAACAATAACATGGTAATATTATTTTTATATCTCATTTCATTCAAACAAAAATATAATGAGGTAGGAGCGGCCGAGTGGCTCAGTTGGTTAAGAGCGGGAGCTCTGAGCAACAGGACTGCCGGTTCAATTCCCACATGGACCAGTGAACTGCGCCCAAGCTGAGCTGCCGCTGAGCCACCAACAGGTGGCAGGATGGCTCGGCTGGTGAGAGCACGTGCTCCAAACAACAAGGTTTCTGGTTTGACTCCCGCATGGGATGGTGGGCTGTGCCCACCCGCAACTAAGATTGATCACAGCACCTTGAGCTGAGCTGCCGCAAGCTGCCAACGGGCGGCCGGATGGCTACTGGACTTGGGAGCTGAGCTAGCTGCGCCCTCCACAACTAATACTGAAGGACAACAACTTGGTTGTCCCCCTTCCCCAATTCCCCAACACCGTTCCCCTTCCGCAATTCCCCAATAGAATCTTATATATGCAGAAAGCAGAATCCCGCCAACAGAGAACCAAAGAGGTCGGGGCTTGTTCCAGCACCGACTGCTGGTAAACAATGGAGGGCTCATACATCGCATCCATTCATCACTTTCTTAAACTACCCTTTCAGTGCCCTACTAATGCGGTGCCTCCAGACAACTACTGGAGGACAGCCTCACAGCAGCCCAAGCCCTGTGTCCTGCACTTCTGCAGACACTGAACATCACCACTTCCTGCTTTAACCCAGGTCTGCCCCACCCCTCTCCTCCTCCCCTTGTGGTGAGTCCATCCTTAAATTCTCCTCAGCACTCCTCCACTCTGACCCTCTGCCTCCCTAGGCGAGGGTGGCTCTAACTTCACAAAAGAAGTTGAGACTTTAACCTTGAACTTCACCATCTGCGGCCACAACGAGGAACAGGTGCCCCCTATTTGGTGCAAAGCTCAACTCTCAGTCTTCTTTTTCCTCCCAATATTTTATTGTAAAATTTTCGAAAATGTGGAAAAGTTGAAAGAATTTTATTTTACCATTCACCTACCTCCTAGATGTCACAGTTATGTTTTGCTATGTTTGCTTTGTCACGTATTTATTCATCTATCTGTCCCTCTATCCGTCCTCAACCTTGTTTTTAAGTTTGTTCTTAATTCCATCTTCTTCATCTCCATCAGAACAAACTTGCCTTCTCTTTAAGCTGTGGCCTCCAAAATCTTTAAATTGGCTCTTTACTTCCATATTTAAAAACAACCACCCTCTTTAATCCCTTCCCAGTCCCCCAGCTATTTTCTCTTTATTGGTCCCTTCAATCACTGGCCTTTTCCTGATGCCCCTGCCACCAGGCGAAATTCACCAAAATCTCCCTTGTGCCCCAATAGGCCTCGGACAGATTTCTTCCACAGCCCCGGTGATATTCAATTGCACTTATTTTTATATGTTTCTTTCTCCTAATGAAATGTAAACTCTTTGAAAGATGTCTGATTTACCACTGTGTTGCTAGCACCTGGCACATAGTAGGTAGCACTCAATATATATGTACTCAATAATTAATTTCAAACAAATTAATCTTATATACTTACCCACCAAAACCCATAATTTATCCACTGTTAATATTAGCTGAGTATGCCACGGAATTTCTGAGCTGGAAGGCAATTTAGAGATCATCTAATCTTAATATCTACCCACCTTCTCCAACTTCATAAGTAAATAAAATGATATAAAAAGAAGTTAAATGACTTACCTACTATCTTCCAGTTAGTTAGGGGCAATGCTAACACTATAAGATAGATAGGAAAAACTCTTGGTTTTAGTTCTGGTCAGTGAGATATATTTCTGATCTCTCTGAATCTGAGTACCAAGTATGTGAAGTCAAAAGATGATGTGCAGGGGCCGGCCGAGTAGCGCGATGGTTAAGAACTCGCTTGGGATGCCAGAGGGCCCCGGTTCGGATCCCACATATGAGGGCCAGTGACACTGCCCTCTACAGCTAAGATGCTGAACAACAGCTCAACCTGGAGCTGGGCTGCCGGGAGTCGCCGGCGACGGCGTGGGCTGCAGTCCCTGTGGCAGTGGGTTGCCATGGGCTACCGTGTGTAGCCAGCAGCCAGCGTGAGCGGCCAGCAGCTGCAGTGAGCGGCCGTCCAGAAGCCGGCGACTGATCTGCCTCACCCGGGAAGAGCGCAATGATGGTGCCAACTTGGGCCAGTGAAGCAACATCCTCCACAACTAGACTGAAGAACAAAACGACAGCAACTTGTCTGTCCCCCTTCCCCCAATTCCCCAGCACTGTTCCCATCCCCCCAATTCACCAATAAAAATCTTTAAAAAAAAAAAAAGATGACGTGCAATTTATCTGCTTAGATTACCCTTTGCCATAAAGGATTATATAATCTTGTTTTGCTTAATTGCTATGCATTTTAATTAGCTAAATAAAAAATGAAAATTAAGCATAAAACCAAAATGCCTAAATTTGTGTTTATAGTACAGAGTGAGGAATTGGCTGTGTTCTCACTGTACTGATGAAACTCCACCAGTGCTGGATCTGCCATCAAAGAGGGTTGTGAAAAACACAGAAGAGCTTTAAAGGCAAGTCTTATATGTAATTAAAAATTTTAAATAAGTCCTGTAAGGCTAAAGAACCAATAATGCTCAGTTTGGAAAAGTGAAAGTAAGAAAGGCAATTTTAATAATGCCATGTGTCTCAAAAATAAAAGCTCTTATACATGAGGTATCCTCGACTTCTACAATCGATAGAACAGGATGCAACAAGTTCAAAATCATGGCATGAAACTTCGAAGTAGATACAGAAAATAAATTATGAGTTCTTAGAAAAGAATTATAGTCTCTCTTTCTGGATTTATAAAATAAAATTGACTCACATCCATATGAGATGTTAATGGTAACATTACAGGCAGGCATACAGATGAAACTTCTCCAAGTCTTTAATGAGTCTGAAATTATTATTTAATCTGGGGTGATCAGAAAAGATCCGATCTGAGCAGATGGTCAGTAAATGCAAATGGTCTTTCCCAACAAAGTCTCTAACCTACTCAACACACGTAATTTCCCTAGTTCAAATGCAACCACTGCTGAAGAGTTAGACAGAAAAACGGGGTGGCAAGGAAGGAATGGATGGCAGAGGCATTTTGAGGTTAGCAACATGGCAACCTGAAATATGACTAGGAAAACCTAAATAAACCAAATTTAGTGATTCAGAGTACTTTAGTTCCCCACAGCCAGAACCTCAAGAAAACTGCTGTAAAGCACATAAATTCGTAAATGGCTTCTGGAAATTCGATGCTGCAGTCAACATAGCTATCCATTGCAAAGGGAACTTACTGTACTCTATCAAAATGAGAGCCTGGAAAATAACAAATTCATTGTCTGTTTAAATCAGTGCAGTGAATGGGGATTAACTACATTTTTAATGGTTTCTTGCTTAGTTTGTATCTTCAAGAGAAACAGACACATAATCCCAAAAGGGAAAGGAAAATAGCGGTTCGTTGGGTAGTTCACCATACATGTTATCTAGTCTGAAAAAGGGAAGGATGGTCCTCTCTTCCTAGGACGAATTTAAAATACCTCTTAGAATTCTGAGATGGGAGGAGAGGATCTGTTAGATCCTGTCCAACCCTTTCCTAGAGATAAAGTCCTTAGATACAGGACTTAAAACCTCAGTGGGTGTATTAGTTTGCTAAGGCTGTCATCACAAAGGAACACAGACTGGGCGACTTAAACAACAGAAAGGATTCTCCCACAAATCTGGAGGCCGGAAGTCTGAGACTAAGGCGACAGCAGGGCTGGTTTCTTCTGAGGCCTCTCTCTTTGGCTTGAAGATGGCTGTCGTCTCCCTCTATGGTCACATGGTCTTCCTTCTTCTGTGTGTGTCTGTGTCTAAATTCCGTCTTCTTATAAAGACACCAGTTGTATTGAATTAGGGCTCATCCCAATGACTTCATTTCAACTCAATTACCTCTTTAAAAACCCTATCTCCAAAGGCTGTCACATTCTGAAGGACTGGGGATTAGGACTTCAACAAATGACTTTTGAGGCAACACAACTCAGTACTGGGTTAATGGATTTTTATAACAGGTTATAGATGATTAACCTTTATACCATTATAATTTTAAAATGATAGAAACTATTGGGTTGTCGGAAAAGTCATAACGCATTTTTGCAACGAAAAACATAGAAAAAGTACGTCATGACTTTCCCGACAACCCAATACTAAGAAGTAAACTTAGCAGACGCCATGCTTATAGTATGGGAATTTAACAGTGCCCTTGAGAGAGGAAAAAGTCAGGTTTTTATGCCCCACCCACTTACCCGTCAATGAGCGCCCTCTGTGTGCTAAGCACTATAGCTTAGGAGAGGAGATCAGAAAAGTCAATTGGGAGCAGGTGGTAAATAGCTCTGGGAGCCAGGCTATGGAAGCAAGACCTGACCTGATAGACAGCAGAAAAGACACCAAAAGATTTTAAGTAGTAACATAATAATACCATGAGAATTTTTTTTTTAACGATTACTACAGTTAAAGCACATAAATGCATTACAGACAGAAAGAGAGAAGGAAGTTATTGCTGTATGTTAACTAATGACAGAAGGGCTGGCAATTTGGTCACAACGTATTGGGTCGTCGGAAAAGTCATGACGCATTTTTGCAACGAAAACCATAGAAAAAATACGTCATGGCTTTTCCGACAACCCAATAAATGTTATTTTTGAAGCAGAATGGCTGAGTCTTTTTGTGAGAGGAAGACCAGGGTTGACGATGTCACCAAGATATTCAATATTTAATATGGGCAACCAGTTAAACAGCATTTTCTTGGGAAAGAAGGGGGCGATCTGGAATGTCGATATAACATCTAAGTGGAAAGATCTAGTAAGCGGCTGGAAAGACATTTAAAATGAGAACATGGGAGGAAAAAGAAGAGAGAGGGAAAAGCAGCTCTAAAACAAGCAAAGAAGAAAACCGGGAGTGAGGAATGCCACCAAAGAAAGG